AACGGGCTGTATTGTATTCTGCTTCCTTTCAGCAAATGGTTAAAAGTTTGATTTGAACCTCAAAAATTCGGCCTTTCCATATACCTGTTTGAACGCATTGGCGTGTCTTATTAGAAAATTCTGCCTACTATAGCTACTATATAATCTGAGGCACTCATTCCAAAAAGGTCTTCTCGTATCAGTTTATGGGAATCTGCTGGAGGCTCTGCCTTGCAAAAACATGAATAAGGTGACAAAAGGTGTTATGAGCAACTCTTTAGAGCACGTTAGAATTAGACTTTCCAAAAAAAAACTATTTATTTATATTAATTTGGTCAGTTATTCTATAAACGGTAACACAATGCAAAAAGGAAGAAAACACAAAGAAACGGTCGTAGTTTAACTGGGAAAAGTTTGACACATCAATCGCATTACTTTAGCCATTACGGTGCCAATATTTCATTATAAGGCATTTCTTTGCTCTGAACTCTTATCATGTTTTTGAAACCTCCCAAATTTCTACTGAAGTCCTTGGCACCACAGCAAACATATGATGTGATGTGTCACCCACTTGAGCTATTTTCCTTTTAGCATAGGCAGAGCAAATCATAGTGGTTCAAAGACCTGCGAAACTTAGAGGAGGTAAACTGCCAAGTATTCCCAAATAGCCAGCTGTCAGGATAATTTAGGGAACTATAAATGGCCTTATGCTCAGCGAAAGCTTCTGTTGGCACGACTACTGCTTGCTTTCCATGAAGGTTGACTCTGTTTTAAAAGCATCGCAGAAAATGCTTTAATTGCATATTATCAAAAAATGGAGGAATACCACTAGGCCTCGCCCTCGCGGGCTACTGATTCATTTCAAGATTATAAATTGTAACCACTGAAAGTAATGGAGCGATTGATTAGACTGAAGAACTTCAAGGTAAGCTGGCATGCTCACTGGGACTAAACTCTACTAAAAAGGAAGTCAGCGTTTTCTACACTGTAAGAAAAATGGATGGAACAGTTGTCCGCAAGGGTGGGATCTAATGGCCCCTTCACTCCGTTGTAAGCTTGAGACGCACTTGGTGAAAGAACCTTTAAATAGAAGACATTTTTACATAGTTTAAAGGTATGACCAGTTTTTCCGATATATTATCTGTTTGAGGTTTTCCATAAATGAATTCGCTCCTGCACACGGTTCTGTCAATCAATAGATTTGAAAGTTCGATTAGGCTTTGAAGTAGATATCTTAGTCTTAAGAGATGAGTAGAGCACAGACTTAGCAACATTTTAAGCTGCATTATTAATGTTGTGTTAAAACATATGGTTGTGGGTGAAATTATCAAAATTGGCAACATCCTCATTATGATGTTGGACTTAGGTGTTGAAGGGATATTCGACCATATGATTAGAATACACTTGCAAAATTTTGATATTCAAAAATTTTCAAATTTGAAAATATTCGAATATTTGAAAGTTTTGAATTGCGAATTCTCGGAAATCGAATATGCAAAATCCAAACTTTTGGGTCATTCTGGAAATCGAAACTTGTTTCAGGCTTTTCATTGTATTCAGGTTGTGAATTAAGCTAAATGAAACATAAGTGCGCACTGATCCCAACAAAAAGTCAAATTGACACATATTGAGAACTTTTGGGCTGATTCAATATTGAAACTTTAAAGCTCATAAACATACTTGTTTGAGCCTTGCATTTAAGATGTTGTCCTTTACTGCTGATCTCAACCATGTTATAGCAATTTTCAATCTCCCAAAATGCGTGAATCGAAGTTTATGAATAAATCCAAACGTTTACTTGCACTTATGGATCCTACTACAAGTTTGGTCTTAACTGTACAAAGCGACAGAAGTTCAC